TCTCTCCAGGGCTGCTCCCAATCCCTTCATCCCCAGCCTGGATTTGTGCCTGGAGCTGCTCCAGCTCGGGGAAGGATCTTGTGCTTGATCTCACTGAACTTCATGAGGTTGGCACGGTCCCACCTCTCCTGCCTGTCTGGGTCCCTCTGGATGTACCATCCCTTCCCTGCGGTGTGACCCCACACAGAGCTCAGTGCCATCAGCTCCTCCTGAGGTGCCTCAATCACTGTCCGTGACCCCAACAAAGGTTGAACTGCTCCAGTCCCACACTGAGCCCTGAGGAGCCGCTGGTCCCTGGGCTCCACATGGGCATTGAACCACGGGCACAGCTCTGAGTGTCCCCATCCAGCCAGGTCCTCACCCACAGAACTCCAGCCACAGATCCATGTCTGCAGCTCGGAGAGGAGTGTCATGGGGACAGTGTCAGGGGGACAGAGTCACGAGGGACAGAGCCATGTGGGGCGGTGTCACGTGGGGCAGTGTCACAGGGACAGTGTCACAGGGACAGTGCCACGTGCTGAGCCCCAGCCCAAGGAATGGTGTCATTGTTCTCTCCTCACCTCCAGCACTGTCACTCCCAGGTGACACCACGAGAGCATTTCAGGCACAATTTGCCCTCAGAGCAGCCAGGTTGGCTGTCACCAACCACCTCCTCATCTTCCATGTGCAGCTTCTAGAAGGATCTGCTCCATGACCTTGCCGGGCACCACCGTGAGACTCATTGCCCTGGAGTGCCCTGGCTCTTCCTTCTTTTTAAAAATGGGGCCAAATTTCCCCTTTTCCCATCTGTGGGAACTTCCCAGACTGCGTCAACTCCTCAGATGTGATGGGGAGTGAGGAGGAACTTCCACCATCTCCCTCGAGATCCTGGGAAGCAGCTCAGCAGGTCCCACGGACTTGGGCACCTTCAGGATCCTTAGATGGTCTCTCTGATCTTCTCAAGTCCAGGAATGGGAAGGGGTCCAGCTGGGAAGGGTCTGGAGCAGCAGGAGCAGCTGAGGGAGCTGGGGGGGCTCAGCCTGGGAAAAGGAGGCTCAGGGGGGACCTTCTCCCTCCAGAATTCCCTGATAGGAGGCGAGAGCCGGGGGGGGTCGGGCTCTGCTCCCAGGGAACAAGGGACAGGAGGAGAGGGAACGGCCTCCAGCTGTGCCAGGGGAGGGTAGGTGGGACATCAGGAGGAATTTCTTCCTGGAAAGCGTGGTCAGGTCTTGGCAGGGGCTGCCCAGGGAGGTTTGGAGTCCCCACCACTGGAGGTGTCCAAGGAATGCCTGGACGTGGCACTCAGTCCTCTGGGCTGGGGGACAAGGTGGGGATGGTCACAGGTTGGACTCGATGGTCCTGGAAGGCTTTTCCAACCTCCAGGATTCTGGGATTCTCCTGCTGTGGACGGTCCTTCCTTCTGCAGTCCTGCACTGGTGCTGGGGAGGGCTGAGGCACAAACACCCTGGAGACCCTCAGCCTCCTCCAGGCCCTGTTTCCTCCCGGAGGAAGGACAAGTCTTCCTCTTCCCAAGTCTTCCTCTTGTCACCAACAGAAGCTTTTCTGTTGCCTTGACGTCCCAGGCCAGGTTCAACTCCACCAGAGCTCCACCTCTCCTGACCTGGCCCAGCCTGTTCAGCCCAGCTCTCTCTTCTCCTCCCGGGCTGCCTGTCCTTCCTTTCACCCTCTGGAGGCTTCATTTTCCTGCTGGAGTTTGTCCAGGAGCCCCATGTTCACCCTCCCAGGTGTTTTTGTCCAACTTCCTCCTCCTTGGGCTGCGTCGCTCCCAAGCCTGGAGGTGACACTCGAATGTCAACCTTGGGCTTCTCTTCCCTGCAGGGCTTTATCCCATGGGACTCTGCCCAGCAGATCCCTGCAGAGGCCAAACTTTGCTCTCCCAGAGCCCAGGGCAGGGTTTACTGTGCCGTCCTCACTGTCCCAGGAACTCCAACTCCACCATTCCATGTTCCCTCAGCCCCTCCTGGGGGTGAACACGAGGTCCAGCACAGCCCTTGCTCCTTGTTGACTCCTCCGCCTCCTGGAGAGGGAATTTATCCCCATCGACACATCCCAGAACCTCCCGGGTCGATTCTGCCCCTCTGTGCTGGGTGGGTGAAGCCCCTCTTGAGGGGTTTGTGGATGTGACACTGGTGGCTCCTGCCTGTCCAGGGCCTCCTCCAGGGGGTTTTCCTGATCAGGTGTCCTGCACAGACCCCAAAAGCCACTCCCAGTTGCTCCCAGTGCCTGTGTCTGGTTCAGTGCTGGGCTTGCCTGTGTCAGGTTTCCAGTGGGATTTGATCCTCTGGAGGGTCTTTTCCAACCTGAACGATCCTCTGGGTGCACAAATGTCTGGGACAGGCCTTGGGAAGGGCTGTGGGGGGTTGTCCCCAGCTGAGCGGGGACATCAGGCCAGTCCTGCCCAGCTCGGGTGACCTTGGGCCTGGCTCAGCCCCAGCTTTGCCCCCCAGCCTGTCCTGTCCAGCCCCTGCTGCTCCCTCTGCTCTTGGGACCCGAAACTCCCAAAAGGTTTTCCACGGATTCTTCCGGAGTATTTGCTCAAGGGAACAGTTTTAATTCATGGCCTAAATCGATGGATTTCATCAGTACTTGGAGTTGTCCCAGTGTGGAACTGCAGCACCTCCTGCCCCCAGGGACTGTCCCTGCGGGGGCACAGCCAGCATTCCCAGAACTCCTGTTCCTGCTGGAAACTCCTCACAGATCCTGGGAGCCCAGGGATGAACAACGGCAGGAAAACCAAACCCGTGCTGATGACCTGTGACGATGAGTCCGGGTGAGGAGCAGCTCCAACAACCTCCAGGTCTTTCCTTGGCTCTTGGGAGCCCCTTTGCTCTGTTTGGAACAACTTTTCCCCCTCAGAGGGGCTTCTCCTGGCTCTCAGTGACTCTCCCAAATTGCATGGATGTCATTCCAAGAAGGCTCCTCTTATCTCTTCCACACTTGGCTTCGCTTTGTCCTTCTGATCTGCACCAGGGGTTTTCCAGAATCAGACTGGAAACAGCCCATTCACTTTTTTTCCACCAAATCCTACTGGTCACGTTCCATCCCAACCTCGCAGCAAGGATTCTTCTCCCAGTTTTCAGCATTTAAGGGACAACTCAGGCCAATGGACCCCTCAAGTTGGGCAGAAGAGCTTCTGGGAGACAGATGTTGTGGAATGTCAGTGCTGGAATCCTCCAGGGAAAGGAGAGGGAAGGAGATCTTCGCTTCATTAAATTTCTTTGGAGATCTTGGAAAACAGGGGAAGATGTTTGTCAGAAGGCACCAGACATGAGGCTGCTTCCACCTCCTTCCTGGTTCCCACCTCTTCACATCTTGTGGGATGGAGTCGGTGTCCTTCCAGCATCCCAAAAACCGTGTCTGGGATGTGGGAGTGACACCCCCATGTTTGGAGCAGCCATGGGACATCCAGGATTCCTCCTCCTCCCACTGTGTGACCCCAGAGCAGGCTGGGGACAGACCAGGACTCGGGATGGACCAGAAGGTGGGTGGACAAGCTGGGAATGGATGAGAAGTTGGGGATGAACAAAAAGTTGGGAATGAACAAGAAGTTGGGAAAGAAAAATAAGTTGGAGATGAACAAGAATCTCGGGATGGACGAGAAGCTGGGAGTGGACCAGAAGTTGGGAATGCACAAGAAGTTGGGAAAGAACAAGAAGTCAGGGATGGACAAGTTGGGACTGGACCAGAAGTTGGGGATGGACACGAAGCTGAGATGGACACAGCCAGGACCATTTTCCCAGCCTGATCCCAGGGATTTTCTGAGCCATCCAAGGTCCTGCTCAGCAATAAAAGCCCGATGGCAGCAGGAGGAGGCAGCGACATTTTCGGTCCCAGGATTTCTCTTCCCAATTTAACATCACACACACGGAGAGCCTGGAAGTGGCCAATCCTCTGCCCGCTGACAGCACGGGGATCCAGTTCCTGATGTGGCTTTTCCAAAGTGCCTTTGGCTCAAGCCCCAACTCCATGGGTTTGTCCTTTCCCCCATCCCATGGGAGGGGAGCGTGGGAGCAGCCTGGGATGGGCCAAGGTCAACCACAGAGGGAGCATTCCCACCTTTCCCACAGAACTGCTGACTCATCTCTGACAGCCTTGGCCAAACCTGGGCCTCTCCCACCCGTCCCAGGAACAGCAGACAGGAATTGTCCTCACTGCCTGGTCAAAACCCCACATTTTCCCCCAAATCCCGTGGAATTGTCCCCTTTGCTTTGCACATTTACCACTGTGGGTCCCACACCTGTGGTGGCCACAGAATTATGGAATATCCTGGGTTGGGATCAGAGTCCAACCCCTGGTCCCTCCCTCAACACTTGACTGTCCAATTCAGCCACATCCTTCTCTCTCCAGCCCTTCATTAAGTGTTTAATTAATCTGCTTTCCTGTGCCCAACTGGATTTCTGCCCCCAAACTCTCTCTGCACACACAATGACCCCATGGATGCCCTGACCTGCTGGTCCCACCACTTCTCCCTCACAGAGCAGCTCAACCTCAACTCCAAGGGTTTGTTTCCATCACTCACCTTCCTCCCTCACCCTCCACTCTGTGCCTGCTTTTCTATCCAAGCTCTCCCATCCCTGGAAGTGTCCAAGGCCAGGCTGGACCTCAGTCTGGTCCAGTGGAAGGTGTCCCTGCCCACCTTGAAATGATCTTCAAGGTCCCTTCCAACCCAAACCTGGGATTCTTCAGAGCAGGGACTTCCTTTTCCTTCCCTCTCTAAATCCACTGGAGGTTTTCCCGCTGTCAAGACTCACAAAAATCAGGGAAGATGGGGCTGGCAGAGCTCTCCAGGACCCACCTCCACAGCAACACCCTCCACCAACACCCTGTGGGCAATAAATGAAAACCTGCAGGTGAAAATTGGATTAAAACACAGAAAACAAGAACAAGAACAAAACACAAACCCAGTGACCAACGACCTGGTAGGGAGAGGAACCAGCAGGGGTTGGTGTTCAACATAAACCAGAAATGGACAAAGGGAAAAAAAACAGGGACAAATTCTGCTGGGAAAAAATAAAAAGTTCTTAATAGTTGTCAGAGAGAGGGAGGAGCTGTGGGAAGAGCTGCAGGAGCCAAAGACACGGACAACAGAGAGTGGGGGTCCAAAGTCATCCCACCCCACACACCAAGGGACCATCAGCTGGGGGTGGCACGAGCCACATCCAGGAACAACAAATCCAGAGACACCACCAGGGATGTTACAGACACCACCTGGGGCTGAAGAAATTATTATTGACAGAGTTCTGGTTAAAAAACCCACAGCCCACCCTCCCAACTGGGCAAAGCCCCACATTGTACAGCTGGCCAAGGCCTTATAAAGGCTCACAGGAACCACAGGGAGAGCCAGGGCTCCTTCTCCAGGGTTTGTATAAATATCTGCACTGTCACTGCCTGACAGTCCCATTCCCACATCCCTTAAATACATCCAGTAACCCACAGAGCGCTCACAGCCTTCTGCCTGACAATTGTTCTCAGGGATTCACAAAATGAGTTCCCAGGGATTCACTGAAAAAGTTCTTAAGGGTTCACAAAAAAGTTCTCAGGGATTCACCAAAAAAGTTCTCATGCATTTGAGGAGAACAACCCAAAGCACATCCACAGCTTCCCAGGGGCTTCCCAGCCTGCACCAGGCCCTGGGATTGCACAATTCCTTTGCCAGCCCCAAACCTGGCCCTGTGCAATGGAAACTCTGCTGCCCATGCCGGGCCATGTCCCAGGGCGAGATCAGACACTCCAAGTCTCCCATTCCCGGCATTCCACACAGAATTCCAAACACACCCACAGCCTGGAATTCATGAGGCTGCTTATTCCATCGGGGGTTTCTCCCTGGCAGAGGAACGGGGCCCAGGGGGGTCTCAGCTCTGTTGCATCTCCCTCCTCATCTCCTCCAGTGCCGCCTCCCTCTCCCGCAGGAGCTGCTTCAGCCGCTTGATCTTCTCGTCCCGGATCGTCTCGTCCAGGTCCGGGGGAGCCGCCGGGAAAGCGTCGTCCCGGAAGGAACCTTCCAGAAGGGAGGGAGCCTCTCTGGGAGCCACCAGCTCTGGGATCTCCGAGTCCGTGCTGGCGCTGCCCGCTGGGGGTGTCCCTGGCTCCGAGTCCCTCCCTTGGGAAGCTCCGGAGGATCCCGTGGGAATGCTCGGCTCCGGGGAGGCTGGAGGGGGTGAAATGCTCCTGGGAAGCGCACTGGTGGTTTCTGAACTTGGGCTTGTGGAGGATCTGGAGGAGTTTCTCCTCCTCTTCCCGCTGTCTGACAGGGGGGAGGATCTGATTTTCCTTTTCCTGGTCAGATCCTCCTCCGGATCCGCAATGATCTGCACGGGTGGGAACAGAGAAAAGGGACATGTTTCTGTCTCTGTGCTTTTCTGGCAAAGATTCCCGGTTAAAAATTCCAGACCACTCAATTCCGTCCTGGAAGGGGAAGGGCACTGCACACCCGCCTGGGCTGGGCCTGCCCTTCATCCCCTGTGGCTGCTCAAGTTCTTTGACACAAGAGCAAGACAAAAACTTCCCGATCTGATGGGAAAATTCCAAATGTACCAGAATTCTCCATGTTTAAATTTCCAAAAAGCTCAACCCCAGGAGATGTCCATGACCAGGGGAAATTCCTCTCAGATATCCCGTTATTTAAATCACAGAATTATGGAACGGGCTGGGTTGGGAGACACCTTAAAGCCCATCCAGTTCCACCCCCTGCCATGGGCAGGGACACCTCCCACTATGCCAGGTTGCTCCAAGTGGCCTTGGACACTCCCAGGAATGGGTTTAATCTTAAGAGCAGCTTTAAATCTGCTCAATTTTAGCACAGAATGAGCAAAACCTGAGAGAAGCTTTGGTTGAGTCGGGCAGGGTCCCACAAAAGGAAATGCAGGACACTGGCTGAACTCTGGATGGATAAAACCCTTCCCATGCATTAGGAGGGAAGTTCCCCCTTCCAGGAACATCCAGCCAAGTTCTCCCAGTGACAAAGGACAAAGTTTATAAGGATTTGTAGCTCTGAAGGCTGGGCAGGTCCACGAGTGAATTTAATTTAATAAATTAGTTCTAATTTAGTTTAATAAACACACAGCCTTGAGATAATGGCACTTGGCTGATCTCAAACTCAACTGATACGATTTTTAATTAATTATAAACTATGTTAATCACAAAATTATCCTTCCATCCCTCTGCTTGTCCCCCCTGCACTGCTGGACAAACACAAGGTTAAACACAAACCAGGACACAGAGGCCCCAATTCCCACCAGGACCATCCCTGGCACTGTCCAGCCACCACCAGTGAGGCCAAACTCCCCCAAACCATTTGTTGCCCAAATTCCCTCCGGTGGAGCCCAAAAATGAGCACAAAGATCATCAGGTGGTGCTCAGAAACCCCAAACAAGTCCTAGGAACCATTGTCCCAATGATTCCTGGTGAATCCAAGGGTGGGAGGCTCCCAACAACCCCCAGCCCTGCCCTGGCAATGCCTTCCCAAGGGTTTTTAGCCCTGAAAAGATTCCCAGGTACCTTTTCCTCTGGAACGCATTCCTGCAGGCAGTTCCCTATTTCCACATCCAGGGAGGATGACCTGCAGGAATCACTTCTCCTTTCCAGGCTGTCACTGGAACAGCCCTTTTCCTCTGGATTCTCCCAGGAGTCCTGGATCAGTGGGATTCTCCTCAGGTAAACTCTCTCCTCCTTGGTGAGCCCAAATTTTTTCCTTAATTCCAAGTACTGCTTCCAGTGGGGCTGCTTTGGGGGTTGTGTTTCCAGCTCTCCCAGGGAATCCATGTGTTCCCCCCGGATCTGAAACACAGAAGCAGTGAGAGAACCATCAGTCCGTCTCTCGCTCTCTCCTTCTCTCCACAAAGATAGATAAAATACAGAAATATGGGAAAAGAGGTGATGGAAGGACAGGAGAACATTGGCTTTGTCTGCCCCCCTCCAAGAGCCTCATTTAGCACAGAGAATCATTTTGGTAAATTATACTCATTATCACGGGTCTAACACTCATTAATTACTTAAACCCCCATTTTAACCCACCCCCCCCCCCAAAACAAGGAAAATCCATCATGGAGCATCCAGAAGGCATCCAGTCCAACCAGCAAGCACAGAAATCGGAGGAGCAACAAGAGAATTTCCTGTTCTACACCTTCCAAGTGCCAGAGGAGGAGGAGGGAGGAGCAGGCAGTGCTTCTGCTCTTTACAACCCAGGGCTTGGCAAATGTAGAAGCTGAAAGCAGCACCTTTGCTCAGCTGTTCCTCCCTGAGGTGAAAGGAAACGCAGAAATAAACTGGATTTCAACCATTTCTCGGGTGAGGAACAAGCCAAAAAGGAGGTGGGTCCATGGGAGGAAGGAGCCTGGACCTGCCTGTGCCCTGCCAGGAGCACAAACTCTGCTCTTCCAGCTCATTTTCCTCCTGGGAAGCTGCAAACTTCTCCTTCTCCACCTCACATCCCACCTGCAGCCCAAAGCTGTGCTGGGAATGGGTATGGATCCACCTTGGAGAGCTCCAGTCACCACCAGCCTCCCTGGAGCTCCAGTTCCTGAGAATTTATCCCGGGAGGGGATAAAACCCATCTTTGCTGGGCCCCTTCCTCTCCTTGCATTTCTCACTTGCACAGTTCAACCTCAGTGGGGAAAACAAAGACCATTTATGGACCAGAACCAACTCCAGGCCAGGATACCTGGGGACAGAGATCCATGAACTCCTCAAAGGCCATTTTGTCAGCTCAAACCCCCCCCGAGACTGAGAGGGGGTGTTTAATTGGTAGTTAATTAAATTACCTTGGGCCAGTCTGCACTGTGAGCCCGTTCCTGCTCCCCCTGGGGTGACACAGCCCCCGCTGCCCTGGGCACGGGGTGACTCCTGTCCCTGCCATGGTGCCCCTGTGCCCCCCCAGCCGGGCCCGGGGTGTCTCCCGTGGGTGGAGCAGGGCAGGGATGGCCCTGGATGGCCCCAGGATCCTGCTGGGCAGCACCGGCCAGCACTGGGGCCGCGGGGGCGGCTCTGGAGTCGTTTGGGGAGGAATGTTGGAGGTCTGCCCGTGGGTTTGGGTCCGTCTGGGCCAGCAGCACCCCTTTGCTCTTGGACAGCACCAGGTTGACCACTTTGCTGGTGATCTGGTTGACAGCAGAGGAGTCCACACGCTGGGGCGTCTCCTTTCTGAGTGAGGGCTCAGGAGAGGAGGGGGTTTGTCTCTCAGCCTGAGCTGCCAGGATGTCAGAGCCCCTCTTGGCCAGCAGATAGACCTTCCCGTTGTACATGACCAGGGCATTGTCCTTCAGCGGCGTCAGCTTGGCCTGGCTGGCCTCGGGCCCGCTGGGGCAGAGGGGCAGGACGTTGGCAGAGCTCACTCCCACGTTCTTGGTGTCCGACAGGGTTTTCAGGATCTTGGAAGCCACGTTGTTGGAGGATTTCACGGGGATGAGGCACGGGGTGAGCGGAGTGGCCTCCTGCACGATCCACTTCATGGGGGCCTGGCGGCGCCGCGGCCCCTCAGCCAGGCCAGCACCGGCCCCCTCTGGGGCTGCTGCCAACAGCAGGGCTCTGGGAGCCTCGGGGCTGCTCTGGGGGCACAAGGCCTGCACCCGTTTGGAGAGGGCCTGGGGGGTCCTCACGGTGTTCACGGGGGACACATAAATCACCGTCGGCATCTTGGAGCCATCGGACGCAGAGGTGGCTGCGGCCGCCAGGATCTTCTGCTGGATGGCCGGGGGCAGCAGGGACGCCGGGACAGACTTCACCTCGGCATCAGCCGGGATCTGCAGGTGGTGGCCGGAGGGCAGCACCAGGGGCTTGCCGGGGTTCTGTGCTGGGAGGGGGTTTGTGTTGACCACCATGTAGGCTGTGCCGCTCTGGGGCGAGGAGCCGGGCACGGCCACGTCCTGCACAGAGCCCCTGCCCTGCACACTGGCACCGGGAACCAAGCCCTCCTTCTCAGAATCTGCCCTGACACCCTCCTGCTTCTCTAATGTCCTTGTAAGAATGATCTTCCCGGAATTAGGAGACTGGAAGATCTTAACAGATGAAGGCGCAGCAGAACTGCCGAGCTGGGTCTTAAAGGTAAGATGGACAGGGGTGGAGATGTTCCCTGCAGGGCTATTTGGCATGGCTGGAGCCTGAACTAGCGGCACAAAGCTTCCTGAAGGTTTGGAAATGGGGAGCAATTTCAGGAGGTTTTTTCCATCTGGTCCCGTGGTCTGAAGGACTCGGTACATGCAGCCTGCGATGCTTGACAAAGAGAGGGGAGAGAGAGAAACGAGAGGCAGGGTGAGTGAACACAGCACAGACACTTCAACTCAGCAGCAGCAGGGACCTGCACCCCCAGGGCCACCCCAGGAACCAGACAGAGCTGAGCTTTGGGAGCTTCAGGAGCCTCAGGAGCTTCAGGAGCTTCCTCCTGCCCTGCCCACGGAACATTCCAGGTTTGCATCTCCCACCACCACAGACTGGCTGGAGACACTGCCCAATTCCTGCCCCTCCAGCAGCCAGAAATGGCATCTTTTTCAGCTTAAAAATATCTGAAAAGACCCAAGGAAACACCTCACATTATCCTCCTCTTCCCCTCACAAGGAATTACTCTGAACACGAAACCGTCGCCTCCTCTCCCGTCTCCCTGTTACTGCTCATATCCCCTCGTGGTGCTGGGAACCAGGAATTGCAGGAAAGCTCCAGGAAACCACAAGGCAGATCAGTTGAATGGCAAGATGGAAGCAGAAATTACTTCAGGCACACACAAAAACCCCAGGAATTCAGAAGCAGGACACGTTTACTTTGTGGGACAGGGTGGAGGTGACCAACTCCCGCACCCGCGTTGCTCATCCTTGAGACACAGAAATCAAAGGTGATTCATCCTCAAAGAGATGGAAAACCTTCAAATGCCACCAGGTTTTGAACATTTTTGAGGACAGGAGGCTCAGTCTGGGAAGGAAAAGGCTTCAAAAACGAGGAGAAAGACATGGAAACAGCACAAGGGACACCAGGAGAGGAAACAGAGATTTTGTGCAGGTGAAGGGACTCAAACCAAGAGAGTCTTGTCAGAACACGGGTCAAGGTGGGACTGCTTCAAATGCCAGGATTTTGGAGTCCATGGCAAGACAGAGAACCTTTCCCACCCCAAGGGGGTTTTCCCGAATGCAGGACCTCCCTCAGGAGCTCCTGGACTCTTGGGAGGACAATCCCACGCCCAGAGCACTGTGAGCTGACAGAGCCGCCCTTGTCGGGAGAGAAGGGACCAAAGGACTGGGAGCTGGTTTCCTGGTCCTGATAGATCCAGAAGGATTAAAGGGCAGAGCTGCCAACCCCACCTGGAGTCACCAAGGGCATCAGCTCCACCCCACGGAGTTCCCACACCAATGAACTCCCAGAAAACACGGATTTGGGATCAGTCCCGGCCCCACCCGGGTGACACCGGGGCTGGTTCTGCCTCCCTGGCAGGGAGCTCTAGAATGGCTTTTTCCCTGTCCTTTGGGCTTGGAATTGTGCCCGGGAGGTCTCCATGCCGTGTCCCACTGCTGGATCTGCTCCAGGAGTCAGCCAAGGCTTTGCCTTTTCTCACCAAGTGTCAGGGATGTTCATCCCAAGGCTGGACAGCTCCTGCTGCAGCCCGGGGGGTGACCAAACACCCCCCACTGTCTGTCCAACCAGATCCTCCCTCCTTGTGACCTTGGAATTAACCCCCACACCCAATATTTTGGTCCAGAGCCTCATTTCTGGGGCACAATGTGTGAGAAAGGAGACTCTTCCATGAAGGATCGGATCTGTCTTTCACCCCCAAAAACTTAAAGAAGGGGCAGCAGATCCTGTGGTTCTGGGGGAAGCTGGGAGAAGAAAATGGAGCTCGATGTTCTGGACTCAGAAGTGAGAGGTGAGAAGGAGCAGCACTGACAGCAGGAGTTTGGCTCAGACACAGAGCAGGCAGAAATCCCAGTGTGGTTGAACACAAGGAAAGCAGAAAAAGGGGATTTTGGGAGCACTTGGAACCTCCCAGCACGGCTGACAATGAATGTCAGCAAGATCAGCAGCTCCTGGGCAGCACTTTGTGTCCTGTGCTCTGGATCTCCCAGGAATTCCTTCACAACCCCACGATCCACAGCCTCGACTCCCCCTCCATCAGTGAGGATCAACACCCTGATAATCCCAGAGGGATTTTCCCGCAGAGTCCCAGGGAACCTGCTGGTCTGATAGAGAGCAAAGAGGCACTTACCTCCACCCCAACTACCTAGGGCTGCAAAGGGGTACCAAGGGGCAGGAAAACCTCCTTCCTCCACCTGTCAAGGCAAGGGGACACCTCTAACTGTGGGCAGGAGGGAGGGGGAGATCAGAGGGGGCAGTGAGGAAAGCAGGGAGGGAGGAGCAGAGCAGCATTTCCAGGGCAGGATCTTCAGAGGGATCCCAGCGCTCCCCATGGCCCCACCCGGAGCCACTTCACCTCCAACAGGCTCCAAAAACTGGGATTGACCACGCCACAAACAGGGATTGGGGAGTTTTGGGGGGTTTGATGAGCCCCAGCACTGCAGAAGGAAACTCTGAGCTTTTGTGTGTCCATGGAAAAGAGAAAGCCCAGAACAGCAACTGTCTGGGAAATCACGGGGTTTGTGCTCGGACCTCAGGCACTGGAGAACCACAAAAAAACCCAGAACACAAGAGAGAAGGGAGGGAAATGTTCCCTGAGATCCTGAGGAGTGGAATTCCCACTCAAACCTCTCCAGAAGAGGAAGGGAAGGACCATTGCCAACATTTTTGGGGTGTTTAAACGGAAAATATTTCATTGTAACAACCTCACACCAGAAAGGCTTTCCCAGGAAACACAAAGCAATCACCAGGTTTCACGTTACCACAATAAAAATAAGGCATTTTCACCCACTTTTTGAGTGATGAAGAGGAGAGTTAAAAGTTATTTTACTCCAGTTTTCAGGCCACTGTCAATCTGAATTAATGGAACTTTAAGAATCCTTTAATCTGAATTAATGGATCTTTAAGAATCCCTTCAGCAGAGTGAAAAAAATTCTACTTGGATCCCCTTTTTAGGGGGATTATCAGATCGGATCCATTGGGTTTAAGATCAAGTAAATTCCCTTTCCTAAGACAAAAATAATAACAGAAATTGTTTTATGCCAAGTTGTCCTTGAGAATGTTTCCCATCATTCCTGGAGTTTTCTTTCTCCTCTTCATCCTCCTTCCCCTCCCTCAGCTCCACAGAATTTCTGTTTTCACCCATTTTATTGCCTAAACTCCTCCTGTTGTTCATCCCTCTCACTAAAGCAGCATGAAACACAAAATACTGAGCATTTAAACTTCCATTTTCTGTCCCTCGTGGTTCATTAACAAACATATTTTGGGATATTTCCAGGAAATGAGAACCATTGATTTACCCTGAATAAATTCAATCACCAAATCCAACCCAGAGGATGTGAAATCCCAGAGAAATCACGGCTGTGTCACCAAAAATAAACCAGATTAAAGAGACAACCTGGCACAAATTGCAATTTTCCTGCAGAGTCACCAGAACAAATGAACCCTCCTGGAAAAACAGGCCCCTTCTCCCCCTGTCAGATGTTGGTTCAGACTCAACTTTCGCCTTCCATGGATGGGAATAAATTATCAGGAATTTGAGCCACTCCAGAGGAACCACCAGGCTTTATTTGACTGGGACCAGTTGGATCCAGGAAGAGGTAAAATAACATTTATTGTAAATTGGAAAAGCACCCCCAGGGACAAAGTGGAATTAGTGGATTGGAGTTTGTATCTAATTATTTTATAAAAGTGTATCCAATCCATGGACTGGCTGAATATTGTAGTAGTAGTAATAATAATAATAATAATAATAATAATAATAATAATAATAATAATAATAATGTAACTGTATACTTATATTTATTTATATATTTATTTTATATAGCTGTATCCATTCCACATAGTGGTTGAATATGGTAATAAAATAATTATTATTTAATAATTAATAAAACAATTTGAAATTTATTAATAATTATCACTAATAATACTATAATTATTATTGTGGATATTTTATGTATAATTACTATAATTACTAATAATTGTTAATATTCCTACTTAATAAAAATAATTTATTATTATTATCCAAAGGAAATCGGGATGTGGATGTTGAATCCACAGGAATCCTGACCAGAATTCCCCAATGCCCTGAGGTTTTCTCCTAATCTAGAAGCTTCCAACAATGGCACAAAAAGCACTTTGTGTTCAACAATAATCATGTCTGGAGACTCCTCCAGCTCTGTGGGATATTCCCTGGGAGCAGAGAATTCCAGGATGTGCCAGGAAAGGCTCCCTGGGCTCAATCCATGGGCAGATCCTGCTCCAGCCACAAAACCCTCGGGAGAATCCAAGGCCATCCCAGGGCAGCCCCAAACTCACCCCAAACACCTCCTGGAGAATTCCAGGGACAGGGAAACCCATCGGGAGCCAAAGCAGGGCCGAGCCGCCGGCCCTGCTGGAGCTGGGAATGTGGGCCTGGAGCTGGGAATGCCCTTGGCACGGGCAGGGCTGGGATAACCCAGGACTGGGATGTGGGATATGGGAACGAGCAGCTGGTGCCAAAGGGGTCCCTGGAGAGTCCAGGGATGGGAAGGGAGCTGGGAAGGGGCTGGAGAAGTCCTGAGGGAGCTGGGGGGGGCTCAGCCTGAGAAAAGACGGCTCAGGGGGAACCTTCTCCCTCTGGAATTCCCTGACAGGGGGGGGGGGGCGGGGGGGGGGTGGTTTCGGGCTCTGCTTCCAGGGAACAAGGGACAGGAAACGGCCTCAGGCTGAGCCAGGGAGGGTCAGGTTGGATATTGGGGAAATTCCTGCCTGGAAAGGGCTGTAAAGCACGGGAAGGGGCTGCCCAGGGGGGTTTGGAGTCCCCAGCCCCGGGGGGATTTAAAATCCCTGTGGATGCGGCCCCTGGGGACACGGGCAGGGGTGGCCTTGGCAGGGCTGGGAGTGGTTGGACTCGATGGTCCCAGAGGGCTTTTCCAGCCTCAAGGATTCCATGGCTTTAAAGCGTGGAAGGTTCAACCCCTCTCTCTCGCATCTCTTACATCCCCTCGACGGGTCCAAACGAACAACGGGAACAACGGACCCGAACCGGGAACGGCCCCGGGAATGGCCCCGGGAACGGCCGGGGGGCACCGGGACCGGGACAGGGCCGGGGAGGGAAAAGGAAAGTGAAAGAGAGGGGAAAAAATGAAAGGAAGGGAAGGGAAGGTTTGGGAAGGGAAGAGAAGGTTTGGGAAGGGAAGGTTTGGGAAGGGAAGGAAAGGGAAGGGAAGGGAAGGGAAGGGAAGGGAAGGGAAAAGGAAAGAGAGGGATGGGAAGGGATGACAATAGATGGGGATGGAAGAGAAGGGACAGGAAAGGAAGGGATGAGATGGGACGAGCAGGCAAAGTCCAGGCAGGGACGGGTAGGACGACGCCCCCAGCCCGGCCCTCCCCGGGGTCCCTGCGGGGGTGTCCCGTTCCCGTTCCCAATCCCGGTCCCTGTGGGGTCGTGTCCCAGTCCCGTCCCTGTGGAGGTGTCCCGTTCCCGTTCCCATCCCGTCCCTGTGGGGTAGTGTCCCGGTCCCGATCCCGATCCCATTCCCGTCACTCACAACTGCGGCCGCCGCTCGGCGCTCCCGGACATGGCCCCGCCCGCGCCGCTTCCGCCGGCCCGGCCCGCCCCGCGCCTTCCGGGGCCGTGAGGGGAAACGGCTCCTC